AAAAAGGAAGAAGAAGGGGAGACCTGCCACAACCTATGTAGGCATAAAAAAGAGGAGGAAGGAAGAGTGCAGAAAAGAGATAAGGAGACTCAAGGCGGAGAAAAAAGCACTCGAGGAGGTTTTGAACCCGAAGGTGTTGCCACGTGACACGACCCCGGAGAGGGAAACGGTGGCACAACTGGAGGGCTTAAACGGAGCACAGATTGCAGCAGAAATGCTGCAAAATGTGGATATAGTAGTAAAAGTAGCCGAAAGATCGAAAAATCTAAAAGGCACTTATGTGAAGGAGCTAAAGACCTGCTCGAAGAACCTCCGAGCGGCTGCAACCGTGGTGGCCAGGAAGACGGCGGGCACCAGCGGAAGGCAAATGGAGGAGGAGAACGAGAGACTAAGGGAAAAAGTGAGAAACCTTGAATCCAAGTGGGGAAAATGGCGATCCTTCTCCAGGAGGAGAGGGATGCCAGAGCGAAGGCGGAGAGTAAGGGAGCAACGGAGGAGGTCATGATGACGGAGGAGATGCCTGAAGAGGACTTCCCCCCCCGAGTACAAGACCAGAGCCCCGCAAAGCCAGCTAGAGCTAAGCGGGCTACGCGGTCCAAGGCCCCAACTGGAAAAGCCCTAGCCAGGCAGAAGACAGAGAAGGAGGAGAAACCGGCGGAACAGCCGAGAAGAGAAGACCCGGTTTACCGACCGAGAGTCAGAGGGAAGAGGAGGGCGCTAGATGAACCCTCTCTGGACGTCGCCATGGAGGACGTCAGGAAGATAATTGAGGGGGTCTCCATCAGAGACGTCACCAAGGGAGACCCACAGGAGGTAAGACGCAACCTCCAAAATTTGATAATTAGGTGTGAGGGAGCCATGACCAGGATCCCGGAGGATACCAGTAAAGGGAAAGAGGAGGCCAAAAAAGGTCTGCCGGTTGTCACCAATATGGAGGTGGTAAGAGGCAGAGTGAGGGTGACGGCCAAGGAGACGGCGGAGAAGGTAATCTACGACGCCAAGACGGCGAGGAGGAAAATCCCTGGCAACCAGGAAACTCCGTGGGTGGAAGTAGCCAGGAGGAAGAAAGGAGGGAAGAAGCCGGAGACGGAGAAGAAGGAGACGGCGACAGGCAACCCCAAGAAACCGGAACCACCAGTGAATGCCGGCAAAGGGGGCGAGAAGAGGCGGTATGCTGAGGTGGTTAAAACAAAACCACCCGGCAATAAAGGAGATAGGGCGAAGCAGCCGATCCCGGCAGGAGGAGGCGGTAAGCCGGAGAAGCGCCCCCAGAGGACGGCCGAAAAGCCAGCAAAGGTGACTGAGGCCCAAGGGGGGAAAGCGCAAGGTCCGGAGGCCCGGAAAAAGCAGAGGAGGACCCCAAGATCCGAGGCCGTGACGGTCTCGTTCCCCGTGGGCGAAAGCGCA